TTCCTCCCACTGACACCAATGATGGGGCACTATTCCTCCCACTGACACCAATGATGGGGGGCACTATTCCTCCCACTGACACCAATGATGGGGCACTATTCCTCCCACTGACACCAATGATGGGGCACTATTCCTCCCACTGACACCAATGATGGGCACTATTCCTCCCAATGACACCCACAATGGGGCACTATTCCTCCCAATGACACCCACGATGGGGCACTATTCCTCCCACTGACACCCACGATGGGGCACTATTCCTCCCACTGATACCAATGATGGGGCACTATTCCTCCCACTGACACCAACGATGGGGCACTATTCATCCCACTGATACCAACGATGGGACACTATTCATCCCACTGACATCAGTGATGGGGCGCTAGTCCTCCCACTGCAAAATTACAGTTATGAAGTAGCAACGAAAATAATTTTATGGTTGGGGGTCACCACAACATGAGGAACTGTATTAAGGGGTCGCGGCATTAGAAAGGTTGAGAACCACTGTCCTAGATTGTAAGCTCCAGGATCGGGGCCCTCCTATCCCTCTTGTATTGAACTGTATTGTCTCCCGTTATATTGTAAAGCACTGAGCAAACTGTTGGCGCTATATAAATCCTGTATAATAATGATTCATGATCTCCTGCTCTTAAGCTCCCTTTGTCTCCTCCTCTCTGTCTCGTTTCCAGGACTTTGCCAGAGCCTCTCCCATCCTCTGGAACTCTCTGCTGCAATCTGTCTTGCTATCCCCTACTTTGGCTGCCTTTTATGCCATCCCTGAAAACTCATCTCTTCAGGAAAGCCTAACATGCCTTCTGAATAGACATTTATAACTTCCATCAGCTCATCCCCCGCACTGGCCCCATCCTATTGGATTGTAAGCTCTTATGAGTAGGGCCCTCTTGATCCTTTTTGATTGTATTGCAGCTGCACTGTCTCCCTTTATATTGTAGAGTGCTGCATGAACTGTGGGCACTAAAGTCCTGCATTATAATAATTTATCAGATAGTTGTTTGGCTTCTTTTTAAATCCTAATAACAGAAATCGCTCAAATGGCCCTCATCAAAACTTTCCATCCCCTGGAAATGTTTGGTCTTGGTACAGACCAGGGGCGGACTGACAACGGATGGGGCCCCCGGGCAATAGGAAATCATGGGGCCCTTGTGTCCTCTCCCACACTCAAACCACACGCAAAAAAAAAAAGCCTATGAAAGGTACCAGGGGCATCTCATGGGGCCCCCCTACTGACCCCCGGACCCTCGGGCGGTCCCGAGTGACTAAATGGTCACTGGTACACATACAGGGAAAATGAGAATTAAAGGTTAATTTACCACATCTGTAGTTTTTTAACCTCCCTAGCGGTCTGATTATGTCCATATTTCTGTGCTCAAAGCGGTACATTTTTTTGCATGGAAATATGTATTTTTTTTATTGTAGGCCTGTAATTTTTAGGAATAACTCACTGAAATCTGTCCGAACAAGAGTCTAGTAAACATCCCGGGTATGACAAAATTTGAAACACAAAATCATAAATTTATAATATAAATAATCATAAAAAATAATAATATAATAATAATACATTTAATTCAATAATATAATCAAACCAAAAACACTGAAATTTGAAATAGAGCGCCAAGTTCGCACATCGCTGAGCAAAGTCGCAGAATCGTTTTCAGTGTCTGATGACGAATTTCCCCCACGAATCATTATCACTCAATTCTGCAAGTGGTTCTAATTTACTATCGCTGTTCTCTAGCCGGTCTAAAACCGCTTTTGACCTAAAGGGACGCTTTTTGGACGCCATGGACGTTTCTCAGTTTCCAGGCAGAAAGAACAGTAAAAATGCAGGCAGGGCGCAGGACAAAGCACTCGGGACAAAATGTATGTGAAATGGTTTGATACAGGAATGTTATACTATGTGATTTTAGTGTATTGAGTGAATGTCACACTTTAAAATTTTTGAAATTCCCGCCGGTTCCATCCCACGTACGTCTCAACGCTCGCAGAGACTTGAACCCGGAAGACGGGTGCCGGCATCAGCCGGAGGAGATGACCAGGGACGCTGCATGGAGGACATCGCGGGAGCACAGAACAAGGTAAGTGCTGGAGGGATCCCTGAGCAATGCAGGGTAATCCCGAGTGTAGCTCGGGTTTACCGCTTCTGGTACTGAAAGTTAACCCCGAGCTACACTCGAAAATACCGCCAGGGGGGTTAAATTGCAATTCGTGTCTGTGTATGAATAGTCAATGAGTTTGTTAGACTTTCACATGGATACACTGAGCAGGCTAGATACTGAGCAGGCTAGATACTGAGCCATGGGGAGCAGAAAAGAACTGTCAAAAGACCTGCATAACAAGGTAATAGAACCTTAGAAAGATGGGAAAGGATATAAAAACATATCCAAAGCCTTGAATATGCCAATCAGTACTGTTCAATCACTTATTAAGAAGTGCAAAATTCAGGTGATCTCTTGATACCAAGCCAAGGTCAGGTAAACCAAGAAAAAGTGTAGCAACAACTGCCAGAAGACTATTTTTGGATACAAAGAAAACCCCCCACAGGTAACCTCAGGAGAAATACAGGCTGCTCTGGAAAAAGACAGTGTGGCTGTTTCAAGGGGCACAAAGGATGATACTTGAACAAAAAATGAGCTGCATAGTTGAGTTGACAGAAAAAAGCCTTTACTGTGCCAATGCCACAAAAAAGCCCGGTTACAATATGCCTGACATCACCTTGACTTTCCTCCACAGCTTCTGGCACACTGTAATCTGGAGTGACCAGACCAAAATAAAGCTTTATGATCACCACCATAAGCACTATCTTTGGAGAGAGGTCTAAAAGGTCTATAGCGACAAAAACAATCCCTACTATGAAGCATGGTGGTGGCTCACTGATATTTTGTGGGGGTTTGAGCTCTAAAGGCATGAGGAATCTTGTGAAAATTGATTGCGACATGAATGTAGCATGTTATCAGAAAATACTGGCAGACAATTTGCATTCTTCTACATGAAAGCTGTGTATGGGATGGTCTTGGACTTTCCAGAAGGCCAAGTGGACCCTCCAGTGGTTACAGAAGAAAAAGATGAAGGTTCTGGAGTGGCCATCACTTTCACCTGACCTTTAATATCATCAAGGCACTCTGGGGAGATCTCATGTGCGGTTCGTGCAAGTTGACCAAAGTCTTTGCATGACCCGAAGGCATTTTGCCAAAATAATGGTCGGCTATACCACCTGCAAGAATTCGGGGCCTCATAGACCACTATTACAAAAGACTGCACGCTGTCATCGATGCTAAACGGGGCAATATATTAAGAACTATGAGAATGCAGACTTACAAACGGTCATTTAATTTTTTTACTTCATTTTCAGTTCATCAACTTGGCCTCGTGCTTAGGGTCATAGGGTCATTGTCGTGCTGGAAAGTCCAAGTGCGTCCCATATGCAGCTTTCGTGCAGAAGAATGCAAATTGTCTGCCAGCATTTTCTGATAACATGCTGCATTCATCTTGCCATTTTCACAAGATTCTCTGTGCCTTTAGAGCTCACCTCCCCTAAAATATCAGTGAGCCACCACAATGCTTCACAGTGGGGTTGTTATTCTTGTCGCTATAGTCCTTGTTGATCCCTTTGCAAACATAGCACTAGTAGCTTGATTGTGATCATAAAGACTGGTCACTCCATATTACAATGTGCCAGAAGCGTTAGGTGTGTCAAGGTATTGTAAGCGGGGTTTTTGTGGAATTGGTGCACTATAGGCTGTATACCTACTTGGTGTACCTGACCTTGTCTTGGTATATGAATGCCAAAATTTTACAATTTCTGACAGGGAAACTTTTGAACACCACTGTATGTATGTGTGTATATATATAATATATATAATCTATATCCTACTCCCTTTAGAAGAAAAAAAAAAAACTAAAGAAGCAGTATAGGCTGCACTCCCATCAAACAGCTAAATATACATTCTCCCACATATATGGGAGATTTTTACAGGTCCCTCCCCCAGCCTGCGGCTGAGCTGTAAAAGGGGAAGCAGCACACTAATGAGCTCATCTATTAATCTGCTCCCTCCTTCCATCAGCATAGTCCTTACTGGCACACAAGCATTGCCGCACAACTGATTGGCTCCTTGTGTTGCTTCTCCTTTTCCCAATCTGAGCTCTGTTGCATAGGGGTTACAAGGTTAAATTCAGGTACTCAGAGTGTTTATACAAAATAAATAAATGTAAGGATGTAATAAGTACAGAGCAGCACCAATATGTATTTTACATTTTGTTTGCCTAGAGTTCAGTATAAATATTATCAACGTGCTTTTAATCATGGTTTTCCAGCCATTTACTTTTTTGTAATGAATGATGATTATTGTAGTAAAAACTGGTTTTCGTATGTAGTGTGTGTGTGTGTGTATATATATATATATGTGTGTGTGTGTGTGTATATATATATATATATATATATACAGTATGTGTGTGTGTATATATATATATATATGTGTGTGTGTGTATATATATATATATGTGTGTGTATATATATATATATATGTGTGTGTATATATATATATGTATGTGTGTATATATATATATGTGTGTGTGTATATATATATATGTATGTGTGTATGTATATATATATATGTATGTGTGTATATATATATATATATATATATATACACACACACACACACAGTGAGGAACAGAAGTATTTGAACACCCTGCGATTTTGCAAGTTCTCCCACTTAGAAATCATGGAGGGGTCTGAAATTCACATTGTAGGTGCATTCCCACTCTGAGAGACAGAATATATATATATATATATATATATATATATATATATATATATATATATATATATATATATAGTAAAATTATTTTTTTTTTAATTATTATTATTCAGCAGTGATATACACTCATTATTATTATATGTGCACACCCTTATCCTGGTTTGTATTCTCACTGAGATCCCTCCTTACCCTCATACAGGAGCAGAGCTGGTGCTGCAGAAGATGTCAGACTATACTGACACACCTCCAGTCCCACCCCAGCGGAACACCAGCACTTTTATTGGATCGAATTCCAAGGACAGCAGCACTATGAACCATGGCTCGAAACCACTGCCTCCGAATCCAGAGCAGCAGCAGAAGAAGAAGAAGCCCATACTGCCCAAAATCCCTGGCACTGGAGACAAAAGTAAAACTTTACCCATATTTATTTCACCAAACATTTTAGCTGTCACAGTTTGTGCCATTCTGTTCAGCCTCTTATGTGATGTACAAGCTTTTTCCATACTGTATGTCCAGAGGCTGACACCACTAGTCAGATTAGACCTGCGTGGTTCGTTTTGTTCCAAATCGAAATTCGGAAGAAATGTTTCATTATTCGGAGATTCAGATGTATCCAAACTTCCGAATTACAATAGCAATGAATTTAAATGAATCCAATATAACGAAACAAAATTTTGTGCGAAATGTGAATAGATTTTGAATCGAAAACTAAATTGAATTTGAATACAAATTCGAAGTATAAACATTTTGCTGACTAATGTTGATTTTCTTCAAAGACTGTGTATTAGTGTTAACATATAGCCGTCTTCCGAAATTTGTGTTTCCAACATAATAGAATGAAATAGAATAAAGTAAAAAAGAATAAAATAGAAAATAAATGAATAAAATAGAAAATAAAGGAATAGTAAATAAAAGCATGGAATATAGCCGTATTCCGAAAGTCGTATTTTGAAAAGAATAGAATAACACAGAATAGAAAAGAATAGACAAAAAAACAGAGCAGAATAGAAAATAAAAGAATAGAATAAAATAGAATAGAAAAGAATACAATAGAAAATAAAATAATAGAATAGAAAAGAATACAACAGAAAATAAAATAATAGAATAGAAAAGAATACAACAGAAAATAAAATAGAAATAGAAATAAATACAATAGAAAAATAATAGAATAGAAAACATACAATAGAAAATAAGAGAATGGAATATAGCTGTCTTCCGAAATTTGTATTTTGAAAAGAGTAGAATAAAACAATAGAAAAGAATAGACAAAAACAGAGCAGAATAGAAAATAAAAGTAGAATAAAATATAATAGAATAGAAAAGAATACAGTAGAAAATATAATAATAAAAAAAAAGAATACAATAGAAAATAAAATAGAAAAGAATACTACAGAAAATAAAATAGATTAGAATAAAAATAATTAGAATAGAAAATAATAGAATAGAAATAAAATACGATAGAAAATAATAGAATAAAAAAAAATACAATAGAAAATAAGAGAATGGAATATAGCCGTCTTCCGAAATTCGTATTTTGAAAAGAGTAGAATAAAAACAATAGAAAAGAATAGACAAAAACGGAGCAGAATAGAAAATAAAAGTAGAATAAAATATAGTAGAATAGAAAAGAATACAGTAGAAAATAAAATAAGAAAAAGAAAAGAATACAATAGAAAATAAAATAGAAAAGAATACTACAAAAAAATAAAATAGATTAAAAAATAAAAATAATAGAATAGAAATAAATACAATAGAAAATAATAAAAAAAAGAAATAAATACAATAGAAAATAATAGAAAAAAAAAAACAATAGAAAATAGGAGAATGGAATATAGCCATCTTCCGAAATTCGTATTTTGAAAAGAGTAGAATAAAACAATAGAAAAGAATAGACAAAAACGGAGCAGAATAGAAAATAAAAGTAGAATAAAATATAATAGAATAGAAAAGAATACAGTAGAAAATAAAAAATAATAGAATAGAAAAGAATACTACAGAAAATAAAATAGAATAGAAAATAATAGAATGGAAATAAATACAATAGAAAATAATAGAATAGAGAAAATACAATAGAAAATAAAGGCATAGAATAAAACAGTCTTCTGAAATTAAAATTTTGAATAGAATAGAGCCAGCTATTATTCACAATGAATTTGGATCAATAGAATATTTTACAATTCAAATACTTTTAGCCCTGTTGAAAATGAATAAACTAAATGAGATGAAACAAATTTCATTACGAATGCAAAAAAAAAGGAATTTAGTAACTTACTGAATCGATCCGAAACTAAACAAATTTTTTGTTCCGCACATGTGTAAGTCAGACCACTTTAGCACTTAGCTTCCTGTGTCACCTTTCTATCTCCAACCTGCTCAGCTGACATCGAGAAAGTGAATTCTGATTGTTAAAGCTCCCGATGAATTGCCTCCCAAATTGATTTCTTGTGTGCAAGGGATTATGGGAATTTCATAGACAAATTTCAGGTCATTATACCGGCATTGTTTAAAAATTGAAATGTATTACCGTTTAAAAAAGAAAAAAAATTGAAGTCTGTAGACAAAAATTGGTGATGTTTAAAAGGTTTCCCTTTTCCGATTTTGTGGCAAGAATAAATGAAATAAATAAAGAATAAATAAGAAATGAAGTGATATACTGGTTACCCCGGGCAACTCTGCTCTCTGTCTGGACTTTTTTGAGACCCTTTTATATTAAGGGCTGGCAGTACTCAAAACTGATACTTTTACTAGGACAGATGAAGGTAGACTCCCTATTGGTTTTTATTGGAGTATCGTGGTAAGAAACTCTTATGTGTAACTTTTACCTATATTATTATTATTATTACACAGTATTTATATAGCGCCAATAGTTCGCTCAGCGCTGTACATTACAATGGGAGACAATACATGAAACAGTACAATGACAATACAGTGTGATACACGAGGGGTTCGAGGGCCCTGCTCCTTGGAGGAGGGAGGGGACCTATAGGTACACTTCTATCAAAGCTTACCTGTAGGTAACATGAATTCTCTCTGCTTTCGAGCCAGCGCAGGCACTGTGGAGGAATGGCATACCGGTGCCATTCCTTCAGAGTATTGTGTTGTGGACATCATTGCAGCCTGGCCTGTCAGATGGCCGGAGCAGGGGCGGACTGACAGCTCATGGGGCCCCCGGGCAACATTCCTTTTTATTAGCCCGGTGAACACCTACCTCGTACTTTATGGAGCTGGGAAAACACTTTCTCTCTCCGGGTGACAATGCTGCTTATTCATAGGTTACAGTGACCAGATGATCAAAATGAAATTTGGAGACACCTTACTGGCCACGCCCACTTTTGAAGCAGGAGGTGAGGATAATAGCAGCTGCAATGGTGGGTGTGATGAAATTGGGCAGGTAGTGGGTGGGTCTTAAAGGGGTGTGGTTTAATGACACCTGAGCCTACTTTGTTCTAGTTCAAAAGTGCAGGTGCAGATGGGCGCTGCAGGTCACCATCATGAGCAAGGGCAAGGTGACAATCCACAGTATTACCTCCCGCCAGGGGCAGACTGAAAACTAATTGGGCCCCTGGGCAATAGGGAATCATGGGGCCCCTGTGTCATTGCGCAAACTAAAAAGGCCTATGAAAAAGGTACCAGGGGCATTTCATGGGGCCCCCTACTGACCCCGGGCCCTCGGGCAGTGCCCGAGTTTCCAAATGGTCAGTCCGCCCCTGGGCCGGAGCTTGCAAACCTAAAAGGAAGACTTGGGGAAGATGGAAGCCTCTGCAGCGATGACAGTGTGCCACTGGAGGGCTTCGTTTTAAGGCAAATCCTACATAATGTGCTAGTATGCAATGCATACCTTGACATGACCTTGCAGTGGACTTTTTTTTTTTTTTTTCTGCAGTCTACTAAAGCTTCAAAGCCCATTACTTAGTTATTTGTTTTAACCAATTACAAAGAGGAGGTCCTCCAACAACTTTAAAAACAAGAACAAAAAAAAAAAAAAAAACTTGAGCCACAACACTTACCTGCAATTCAGAGCTCGGCCTCTTAAATTAAGAGGGCATCACCACTGAAGAAGATCAGGAGAAGAAGAGGACCCAGCTCATCACATGACCAGCCTAAAAAGATCAGGAAACAGGACCCATCTGTCATGTGATCAGTCTAAAGTAGTTGTCTCCAAACTGTGGCCCTCTGCTAGCCTTTATCCATCCCTTGAGGCACTATTCCTACCACTGACACAAACAATGATACCGATGATGGTGTGGAACTATTCTCCCACTAATACTAATTCCTCCCACTAATACCAATGATGGGGCACTATTCTGGGGCACTATTCCTCCCACTGATACCAATGATGGGGCACTATTCCTCCCACTGATACCAAATACCAATGATGGGGCACTATTCCTCCTAATACCAATGATGGGGCACTACTAATACCAATGATGGGGCACTATTCCTCCTACCCACTGCACTATTCCTCCCACTAATACCAATGATGAGGCACTATTCCTCCCACTGATACCAATGATGGGGCACTATTCCTCCCACTGATACCAATGATGGAGCACTATTCCCCCACTGATACCAATGATGGGGCACTATTCCTCCCACTGATACCAATGATGGAGCACTATTCCTCCCACTAATACCAATGATGGGGCACTATTCCTCCCACTGATACCAATGATGGGGCACTATTATTCCTCCCACTGATACCAATGATGGGGCACTATTCCTCCCACTGATACCAATGATGGAGCACTATTCCTCCCACTGATACCAATGATGGGGCACTATTCCTCCCACTAATACCAATGATGGGGCACTATTCCTCCCACTGATACCAATGATGGGGCACTATTCCCCCCCACTAATACCAATGATGGGGCACTATTCCTCCCACTGATACCAATGATGGAGCACTATTCCTCCCACTAATACCAATGATGGGGCACTATTCCTCCCACTAATATCAGTGATGGGGCACTATTCCTCCCACTGATACCAATGATGGGGCACTATTCCTCCCACTGATACCAATGATGGGGCACTATTCCTCCCACTGATGGAGCACTATTCCTCCCACTGATACCAATGATGGGGCACTATTCCTCCCCCACTGATACCAATGATGGGGCACTATTCCTCCCACTGATACCAATGATGGAGCACTATTCCTCCCACTGATACCAATGATGGGGCACTATTCCTCCCACTGATACCAATGATGGAGCACTATTCCTCCCACTGATACCAATGATGGGGCACTATTCCTCCCACTGATACCAATGATGGGGCACTATTCCCCCCACTAATACCAATGATGGGGCACTATTCCTCCGACTAATACCAATGATGGGGCACTATTCCTCCCACTAATACCAATGATGGAGCAATAGTCCTTATCCTACTTCCACACGC